CAAGCGAGTCTCCTGCCTCTGCCTCCCAAGTAGCTGGGACCACAGGCGCCCACCACAACACCTGGCTATTTTTTGGTTGCAACCGTCATTGTTGTTTGTCGGGCCGGGCTGGATTCGAACCCGCCACCTTAGATGTATGTGGCTGGCGCCTTAGCCACTTGAGCCACAGGTGCCGAGCCTGTATGTCCAACTTCTAACACAAAGCTTGCCATACAGTAAAAGCCCTCAATAAATGGTCACCAATATATATATATATATATATTTTTTTTTTTTAATAGAGAAAGGAGAGTTCCTTTCCTTGGATCTTGGAGGATCTAAATTTCGAGTCTTGAAGGTGCAAGTCTCGGAGGAGGGGAAGCCACAGGTCCAGATGGAGAGTCAGTTCTACCCAACGCCCAATGAAATCATCCGAGGGAATGGCTCAGAGGTACAGGGCAGGTGGTTTTTTGGGGGGTGGGAAGGCCTTGGCATCAGTGTGTAAGAAACCATCCCTGAGCCCATGTCCTTCATTTTTTCTCTCTGCAGCTGTTTGAATATGTGGCTGACTGTCTGGCAGACTTCATGAAGACCAAAGACTTGAAGCATAAGAAACTGCCCCTTGGCCTGACCTTTTCTTTCCCCTGCAGACAGACGAAATTGGAAGAGGTAAGGCCAGTGCCAGGGAGGGGGAAAGCGGTGTAGGCTTTGGGCTTTTCCTTCTTTTTGTTAACGAGGAGGTGGCAGTGTGCAGTGGATAGCTCATGCACACAGCCAGTATGATTTTGCACTTAACCTGGGCCCAGAGCCAGGGAGTAATGGCTTTCACTGGTTCTTAGACCTTGATTGCTTCAGAATTCCCAGGAAGGCCTGCTCAGTGCGGATTGCGGGGCTCCCCCAGGACTGCTGATTCTGCACTGAGCCCCTAAATTGACACTGCTAAGAGGTTCCTGTTCAAGGACTGCACTTAGCACCACTAAAATAGCTGACTAGAATGAGAGCAGGAGAGCTCGGGGAATGTCCCCCCAAGCCCTTGGGAGGAGGGCTGTGGTGGAGCTGCTGAGTGAAATGTTCTTGATCAGACCCTGAGCCTGGGGTATCTAGTCTCAGCTGTGCCACAGCTGGCTGGAGTTCCTGGTAAATCAACCCTGTGTATCTCAGTTTTTCTATTTGTAATCAGGAGGAAGCCTAACCTGCTCCTACGTGCATCTGTGGCAATAAGTAAGGGGATTCTAGGGCTGGGGGTTATTGTTAAGAATCAAATCTCTCTGCTCGGTGCCTGTGGCTCAAGCGGCTAAGGCGCCAGCCACATACACCTAAGGTGGTGGGTTCGAATCCCCAGCCCAGGCCCGCCAAACAACGATGGCTGCAACCAAAAAATGGCCAGGCTTTGTGGCTGGCGCCT